GAATTTAAAACTATAACCTGGGATCAGTTTTCTTATACCCTTGGACTCCTACTGAAACTCCTGGTACGAATTGAGAAAAAAAGATCACTAATAAAAAGGAGAAAAAATAGCTATTCAAAATGGGGAAACTTAGTAAAAAAGACAAAACAGGTCTATAGAATCAAGGTTTTTAAATTCAAATAGAACCATAAGAATATTGGAGTTATTTTTTCCGAAGGTTTAAAGATTAGATTGGAACTAAGCATTTTGAGAAGCTATAGGAACTCCTGATATAGGGAATATGATAGATATTGTCGTCTTCAAAGGACGCATTATTAACATTTTTAAATTCACTCTCTCAAGGATAATTGTAAAAGCTCTGCAAATAGTTTCAACCCTTAAGTTTAAATATTCCTTATCACTGAAATATTAGGATTATCATCATTATTCTTGATGATAAATAATCCAAAGACTGAAACTAAATTTTTCTAGATGATTTAATATTTACTCATGAAGTAAATGCCCTACTCCAAAACATACTTTTAGATCAGTGCCAATCCAGTTATAACCTTCCGTATCCATACACTGTATCTGTATTCTTAGGTATCTGTCTTACAAGATAAAACTCAATCATGAAGTTCAGGTTGCTCAATTATACTTTAGTCAATATCAAACCGGATGTATTCTCAGGTATCTGTCTTACAAGATTCAACCCAATCACAAACTCCAGGTGACTCAATAATCCTTTAGTCAATATCAAACCGGATACAACTTTATCTGTATTCTTAGGTATCTGTCTCACAAGATACAACTCAATTATGAACTCCAGGTCACTAAATAATCCTTTAGTCAATATCAAACTGGATATGACTATATCTGTATTCTCAGGTATCTGTCTTAGAAAATACAAATCAAATCCGTCCTGTTTGCTATACACAATAGCTAGTTTACATTAATGAATAGTAGTTATTTATAAGCATAATTAGGTTTAATCGCAATACAGGGTTGACGTAGTTATTTACAAGCGTAGTTAGATTAAAATTTACAATGTAACATACCTAGGTATGTTCAGGTTTATAAATATGGGGTTTTCTATGATAATTATTACTTGCATGTTATAAGGAGGAGGTGGCCTTTTGGTTTATTTTTACGATATTAAAGTGTGTTTTGGATGATAAAAAGACATGTTTAGTTTTAATAACAAATATTGCAGATTGTACAATATGACGATTTTAATAGAAATAAATTATTCAGTTTTCATTACAAATATTGGAGATTTTAATGGAAACAAATTACATGGACTCATTGAGATCGCCTTCATACAAAATTATTCCTCATAGAACTAAATCTTGAGAATAGAACTGAGTATTGAGTTAAAACTAAACCTTAAAAATAGAACTGAGTATTGAGTTTAAACTAAACCTTGAGAATAGAACTGAGTATTGAGTTTAAACTGAACCTTAAAAAAAGAACTGAGTGTTTTGTTTAAACTAAACCTTGAGAATAGAACTGAGTATTGAGTTTAAACTAAACCTTGAGACATAGAACTGAGTATTGAGTTTAAACTAAACCTTAAGACATAGAACTGAGTATTGAGTTTAAACTGAACCTTGAGAATAGAACTGAGTATTAAGTTTAAACTGAACCTTAAAAAAAGAAATGAGTGTTTTGTTTAAACTAAACCTTGAGAATAGAACTGAGTATTGGGTTTAAACTAAACCTTGAGAATGAACTGATTATTGAGTTTAAACTAAACCTTGAGAATAGAACTGAGTATTGACTTCAAACTAAACCTTGAGAATAGAACTGAGTATTGAGTTTAAACTAAACCTTGAGAATAGAACTGAGTATTGAGTTTAAACTAAACCTTGAGAATAGAAATGAGTATTGACTTCAAACTAAACCTTGAGAATAGAACTGAGTATTGACTTCAAACTGAACCTTGAGAATAGAACTGAGTATAAAGTTAAACTAAACCTTGAGAATAGAACTGAGTATTGACTTCAAACTGAACCTTAAACTGGAACTGAATTTTGAGTGTGGAACTGAAAAAATTGTAAGGGCTCAGGTGCAAACTGAGGAACATTTGCAGGTTCAGTTTAGGAACTGAAGATTATCTCTATAGGAACTTATCTCTATAGGTTTTGTCTAGAAACTATGGTTTGGGTTTGGACAGAACAATAGTTCAAGATTGTGCTTCTTAACTTAAGAATATCTTTAGATTCATGGTAGAAACTGCAGTATCTCCAATTAATGTGGTGTAAACCTTTGATATTTCAAACTTAGCTTATTTCATCTGGTATGGACAGCAGAGTTCATAGTTTGAAATATTTAAGGTACAGGACATAGGATTACAAATATACGGATTAGAAAATCAGAGTTTGTGACAAAGACTCAAGTCCTTTGGGTGGGGAACTGAAGAATACATTTCCAGGTTCAGGTTATAAACTTGAGAACAGCTCCAGGTTCAGGTTAGAAACTGGAGATTATCTCCAAGCTCAGGTTAGCAACCATAGAATATCTCCAGGTTCAGGTTAGAAACTGGAGGTTATCTCCAAGTTCAGGTTAGCAACCAAAGAATATCTCCAGGTTCAGGTTATAACCAAAGAATATCTCCAGAATCAGGTTAGCAACCAAAGAATATCTCCAGGTTCAGGTTATAACCAAAGAATATCTCCAGAATCAGGTTAGCAACCAAAGAATATCTCCAGGTTCAGGTTATAACCAAAGAATATCTCCAGAATCAGGTTAGCAACCAAAGAATATCTCCAGGTTCAAGTTAGAAACTGGAGAATATCTCCTGGTTTAGGTTAAGAATCAAAGAATATCTCCAGGTTCAAGTTACAAACTAGAGAACATTTCCAGGTTCAGGTTAGCAACCAAAAAATACTTCCAGGTTCAGGTTACAAACTAGAGAACATATTCAGGTTCTGATAAATAACAAAAGTATATCTCCAGGTTTAGGTTAGGAACTTGAGAATATCTACAAGTTTAGGTTAGCAAATAAAGAATATCTCAAGTCAGGTTATAAACTTGAGAATATCTCCAGGTTCAGGTTAGCAACCAAAGAATATCTCCAGGTTCAGGTTAGAAACTAGAGAACAAATTCAGGTTCTGGTTAGTAACGAAAGTATGTCTCCAGGTTCAGGTTAGAAACTTGAGAATATCTACTGGTTTAGGTTAGCAAATAAAGAATATCTTAAGGTTCAGGTTAGAAACTTGAGAACAAATTCAGGTTCCGGTTAGTAACGAAAGTTTGTCTCCAGGTTCAGCTTAGAAACTTGTGAATATCTACAGGTTTAGGTTAGCAACCAAAGAAAATCTCCAGGTTCAGGTTAGAAACTGGAAAGTATCTCCAGGTTCATCTAAGCAACCAAAGAATAGCTCCAGGTTCATGTTAGAAACTGGAGAATACCTTCAGGTTCAGGTTAGCAACCAAAGAATATCTCTAGGTTCAGGTTAGAAACTAGAAAACATATTCAAGGTCCGGTTAGTAACCAAAGTATATCTCCAGGTTCAGGTTAGGAACTTGAGAATATCTACAGGTTTGGGTTAGCAAATAAAGAATATCTCAAGGTTCAGGTTACAAACTAGAGAATATCTCCAGTTTCAGGTTAGCAACCAAAGAATATCTCCAGGTTCAAATTAGAAACTGGAGAATATCTTCAGGTTCAGTTTAGCAACCAAAGAATATCTCCAGGTTCAAGTTACAAACTAGAGAACATTTCCAGGTTCAGGTTAGCAACCAAAGAATATCTCCTGGTTCAGGTTACAAACTATAGAACAGGGTCCGGTTTGTAATAAAATTATATCTCCAGGTTCAGGTTATAAACTTGAGAATATTTCCAGGTTCAGGTTAGCAACCAAAGAATATCACCAGGTTCAAGTTAGAAACTGGAGAACACCTTCAGGTTCAGGTTAGCAACCAAAGAATATCTCCAGGTTCATGTTACAAACTAGAGATCATATTCAGGTTCCAGTTTGTAATAAAAGTATATTTCCAGGTTCAGGTTAGAAACTGGAGAATATCTCCTGGTTTAGGTTGCATCCAAAGAACATTTCCAGGTGATGCTTTTGATTTAAGTCGATTGATCGGTAATTATTACTATAACATCGTGTATACGCAACATCCCCCTACTGAACTTCTGACCAGCTAGCTTTCCGACCTACTGCAATATCCGACCTACACCAGGTGTTTATTTTTGTACTATTTCAGGGTTAGGTTTCGACAATTTATGGACCGAGCGCTGCATCTATAAACACTAGACAGGAATTAGGAGGCCGAGCACCGCTGCGACCACAAGTCCATCTAGCAGCTGTAAAGTAAAACCCCGTGCTAGTATAGCAGATTTGGCGTAAGTCAGAAGTAGAGTATAGCAGATTTGCGTAGGTCGAAAGATAACCATCGATCGGACTATACTGCAGGTCTTGTCTTTATGGATGGTTTGTAAGCAAAATTTGTGGAACGGAAAAGGCTTGTTTTTCTAGATCCTTATATTTCTCAAATACCAAAATGAAGCTTTGTGCTATCATATATCTCCAAATCTCAAAGCGAAGTCAAAAATTTGAAAACTAATCATTAAAGGGGTTTCTTGACATTTTGCGCATGCGTAGTGTGTTCAGATTCTTGGCTTGTCTACCTGGAGTGTATTGTGTACTATTGATGTGTACACTTACTACACACTCGATTCATGAGCCTGCACGCTTATACTCTCCTTATAGACGCAGCTTCAGTGCTCATCCCGCTCTACAGTGATGCCTAGTACAGTGTCATGGCTTCAAGCTGGGTTTACATCATGTTTAATATCCAAATATGCTAGTAAACGAATAATAAAGTTTATCCGTAGATTTTAAATTTGAAAACAGCTGATTTCTGATCAGGGGTCATTTTTATTTACAACCGCGCACCTTATGCAAATCATTAATTCCATAATATTAATTAATTTTTTTTAAATATGTAATTATAAATTATAAAAATGGTCTGAGGAAAGAACTATTATATTATAATCATGATTTATTTTTTTATTTAAACATATAATTTTCAGACAACCGCCCAACTATCCTAAATCAAAATGTCTGGACGCGAAGGTGGAAAGAAAAAGCCCCTGAAGGCCCCCAAGAAGGACGCCAAGGTTTGAACATATCATGAATAGATTATATTAATAAGATAATTCTTTTAACTCGGCTTATAATTGTTTGCGTGTTTGCTTGTAGTATCAATGTCGGGGAGTTACCAACTCTTCGATAATTATTATTATAATTATTAGTCATAAAAGCGTTCTATAGTAAATGTGTGTGCCAACATCATACCTTAGTCCGAGCCGGGTCATTTGAAGTCCCATGCTCAACCTTGTCTGTATTGATTGTTTCGTAGATGATAAACCGATGTTTCAATTGTGAAACGTTGATTTAAGAGTCAATTGTTAATCTCATAATAGTTAGAGTATTTGATATATTTTGACCTATAGGATTTGGATGATGATGATAAGGCTCACCTGGCCAAGAAGAGAGAAGAGGAGAAGAAATTAAAGGTTTTTGATTTTAGATTCTAATTAATTTACCAATGCAGATTGCGGACGTCTTAACAAAACTGGTTGCAAATTCAGCCTAAAATACTCGTCTCATCAAATAACGCAATTACTTTTTTTAATAATTCAAAGTAACTGTGGCCTGAATTTAAAAGATTCTTTTAATGAGTATTCATAATGGTATAGTTTAAACCAGTGCTTAGGATCCGGATCCAAGGAGCAAAACATCAACAAAAAAACTGAAAAAAAATATTTACGCTTAAACCCCAAATCTGAACTATTAAAAAAAGAGAAATTATAAAAATTTTCTAATTTCTGAATGGTTTATTAGGTTTTTTTCATAAAAATAAGCGAAAAAAATAAGACAATAAATTTTAGATTTCTCCTTTGTTAAAAGAATTCAATAAATTTTATGGAAATAACCTGGATCCGGATCCATTATTTTCCAGTGTGGATCCGGGATCCGGATCCGGATACGCATCAAAATTAAATGGATCGTAAGCAAGAATATAAATATCAAATTTTTATTCCAATTTTTTAATAGGATTGTTTTGTGTTCAGTATTTACTCAAGCTATCCTTATTTTTTATTTTCTTAATATGATTATTATTTAAATCTCTGACATAAGCTTATATTTTAAGGAGCTGGCAACCAAGGCGGCTGGCAAGGGACCTCTCGTCTCCGGCGGGATCAAGAAGAGCGGAAAAAAATAAACTTCTGATCTCCGAACCTCATCGCGCGAATCATCGAACACTCATAGTTTTTTTTACGCTTTCATGGTTTCATATCAATTTTTAACTATCTTTGTAACTTTACAATGATTTCAGACAAAATGGCAATGGCGGGAATTACAAGAAGTGTTCTGAGGCCATGTCGTCATTTTGTAGGTAATATCTTTCGCCTGAAAAATAACTTTAATATGATTGATTGTTCTCTATGATTTGTTTCACTGAAGTCAAAAATTAGATATTGTTTGTATTAAACCATACTTTAAGTATGACTAAAAAATCATTTTTAAAAGGTAATTAGTATATTCAACTTATATATGTAGTAAATGTCGTTCTGTAAAAGTTCGTCCCACAAACTGTATCATTCCAGGCTCAACCAGTTCACTATTCAAGTTAACCAGAACCTGGCTCCAGATAATATATAATATATAATATCCCAGGATTGGTCTCTGCTCCTAGTTCACGAACTATTTCTTCCCATGGACAAGCAACCTTCACTGATCTTCCGGAAACTCATCAGATGCTCAAGGATACCTGCAGGTTCGTGGTTTCAGAAACATTTTATCAAAAATTTGCGGGTTGCAGTTTGTAATTTGTTTGTAATTTTTTTTCGTTTCATGCAGTGGTAATCTGAAAACAGTGAAATAGTCTTAGTTTCTTCTACTACTTCATCTCTATCTCTTAAAATTACAAATTATATTGTAATTTTAACAGTTTAAATTCTTAAATCATAGGGAGACATTTTATTAAATAAAAAGAAAGACGATAAGTATTCCACTGTTTTCTATTTATCCTAGACTCCTAGATATAATGGTTTAGATTAGAATGTTTATACTACAGCTCCCCACCCCTTCCCCCCTTCTCTAAAACTGAAATTTGATGTGGGGTTAATTTTTAGCAAAATTCAGGACTTCATAGGTTTCAATGATAATTGGTTTTCCCTTTCTTGAAGTAGATCAAACAATATCTGGTCTTCAATATCTGGATTTGAAACTCGAAAATCACAATTTTGGTTTTGTTGGGTTTGTTTATAATATGTTAATTGATTATTGACTGATGGTGTGCAGTTGGGTGGTGACATAGATAAATGTTGATATATACATTAGACTTGTGTCATTTATCAACGGGAAATTGGTTTCTGTCTGTTGGTCGCAATTTTCGTGGAGGGTTCGGCACAGATTTCTGAGATTAAAGGTTGATTATTATTTAATTATAATTCTAGACAGTTTGCTGAAAATGAACTGTGGCCCATTGCTGGTAAAATAGATAAAACCTGTGAATATCCAGAGGAACAAATTCACAAGATGGGAGAATTAGGGAAACTAGATTTTATAGAAAATTTAAACAAAACGTAGAGAATTGGAGTTGGAATTGGAGAGGTCGTTGAACTACCTAACAGCGGTTCAAATCCTGAAATTTTTAACTTTAATTCGGTGATTTAAGATTTGAACTGGTGGTAGTTAGTTCAGCGATCTTGTTCAAATTCATTAAATTCGGCTTGAGGATACATATTTTTTTAAAACTAGCCTTAGAGGGCGATTCGCGCCCATCTTCTAAATTAATTGTGAACATGTTCTCTTTGTGTACATCGTAAAACAAACAAAAATAATTCGCGGATTTTCACGAAAAAATTCGTGAATTTTAAAAATTTTCAAATATTTAATGAAGATCGAATTTTGATGGAGACAAATATTTGAAATTTTGATCATTCATAAACCTTCCCTGGGGTCCCTAGATGTCCCACAAAAAATTTGGGCCCGATTGGTTCAGCCGTTTTGACGTTTATTGGATACAAACAAACAGACAGACAGACAAACAAACAGACAAACAGACAGACGAGCCAAATTTATATATAGATTCTGACTTATGAATTTGTTGAGAGAAATGATAAAACCAATTTTGATGTTAAGTTTTTACCATCTTTTTGATACTTGTTCAATTTAGAAATTCATTTTTAATTCCCTTAAAATGATTGGATCTCCCTAATTCCGCGATAAAAGACCCTAATTTTATCCTAAAATAGTGGGCCGAACAATTATTTAGAAGGGGGGTGGGGGAATGTTGTGTTATAGGAAGTATTCATCTGACACAGTATGAAACTTACTTTTTATTTTAATTAACTTAATTATACAGAACGGACAATGAATACAAATGTAACATGTAACATTAAAGCGTTGGAACTTTAAGCGTAAATTTGGAAATTCGGCTTTTGTAGGATTATGTTAAAAAACTGCTATTTAACCACTATTTAACACTCGCCCTGTAAACCACTACAAACTAGAGTATGCTGTATGCAATACGCTTGCTGGATTTGAATTATTATCTTAATTAAACTCGGTCTTTCTCCATTTAAAAAGTTTTAAAATAGACGTTAACTTTTCCTTAAAAATCTGGTTGTTTGGTAAGGTTTGATGGGTATTGATATACCTGAAGAATATGGAGGAACTGGACTGGATTCCCTGGCATATGCTGTAGCTCTCACAGAAATATCAAGGGGCTGTGCTAGGTAGGAAAAAAAGTGGGTAAAGGGAATTTAAGGCGTTGTTGTTGTACTTTTGACCCTCACGTAAAGAGGGCAGCGGTTCACAGCGATACCCTTCGAAAATTTATCTGAGTCGTTATTCCACCTGAGAGTGCTCTCACAATTTTGCTCCATTTTGTTCCAGCCACAAAAGTCCGTTGGTAGAGAAACTTTATTTGAAAATTTTTAAAGATTAAAATATTGATTGCTCATTCATTCTTAATCGGAGAGCGGTTTTAAGGGCACCGTTGTGAACTGGACAAGCAACTCTATTAACGGAGAATTATTAATATATACGTAAGCAGTCCCATAATGGGGGGGATCTTAAAAAATGTTAACTACTGAAGTCGGTTTTTTCCTTTTGAAAAAACGGGTTTAAGACAATTTTCTGATTGAAAGATGAATCGTTATTTTCAGCGCTGGAGTGATAATGAGCGCTCACAATTCCCTCTACCTCGGTCCGATCAAATACTTTGGGAATGACGCCCAGAAGAAGTCCATGGTGACCCCCTTCCTTGACGGGACCAAGATCGGGTGCTTCTGCTTGTCCGAACCAGGGAATGGAAGTGACGCAGGTAAAAATATTTAGAACGAAAGTTTTTTTTATTGCGAGGGGGGGGGGAAGGGGTAAAAAAGGGATAAACCCTTTTTTTACACTCAACCTCAAACATTTGATGAAAACATATCATTGTTGCAAATATTCTTAAAAATTAATTTTTCATTTGTGAAGCAGGAACATATTTTTTCGTTTTTTTCTCGTTGAATTAGGGAAACTAAATGGTTTTAGGAGGAAACGAACGATGAGAATTTTTAAAAATCTCCCTTACCCCCAAAAACCTTATTTTTTCGAAATTCTGTCAGTGCTTTGAACTATTTACCCCTGAATCTAATATTTTATAATAACTGTTATATTTACCCCGGAATCTAATATTTTATAGTAACTGTTATATTTACCCCTGAATCTAATATTTCATAATAACTGTTACATACGGAAGCAGTAGCTCTGAAAAATTCCCATTGTTACATTATCCCACAAAATAACACTTTATCATTGTATCTTAACGCTCCGCAAAGTTCGGGATATAATTTATGAGGGTGTAATGATACATTAAATGACCGGTATTAAAGGGACTGTAAAGGAAAAATGAAAGGGGGTATAGGCTGAAAGATAATCATTTAAGCTCTTGATCGCGACGATAGAAAGTTATAACTGATGTTCCTAATTGTAACCTAGGTTTTCTCCAATTATTATTTTATAATTTTTTAAAAATTAAAAAAAATTTTTTTTTTTTTATTAGATATAATTGATGATATTATTATTTGTATTACGTCACAAGAACTCCCGCCAATGAAAGTGCAGTCTAGTGGTCACGTGTCTCTGTCTGTATCAAAAAACGATAGATCAGCCAAGGCCCCTCCTTGCTAATATTATTGAGTTAAATAATTATCTTGAAAGGCTTAATTAGGAACTTCAAACTTGACAAATTATAATATTTAATTATAGTTTAAAAAGTTTAAATCTTGTTAAGCATAAAGGGACTAACGGCGTAATTTCAAACTTGACTCTCCAGGTTTAGAGTCACGTGTCATATTTCCAACTTTTTTTTATTTTCTTCGTTTCATCAAGGAAGAATGAGATAACCTAATTTTTCTATCTGATTGATATTATTTTCAAACTCAATGTACATGTATAATTGGCTTGCGGATTTATGGGACCGAGACGAGAAAAACGACTACATTTTCCTCATTATAACGGAGATAAAGAGCGAAAGGTTACGGTTGTGAATCGGACATGGCAATCTTAAATGGCAGGTCACTTGAAATTACTTCTACAGTTCATTTAAACTTAAACAAATTATTATGTACTGCACAGGTGCCGCAAGTACAACCGCCACAGATGCAGGGGATCATTGGGTTCTAAACGGTACAAAGGTAATACACAATACACATGGTACAATGTACATAGTGATACAGTTAGCGTAGTGTTCAAATCCATCTACTGTTTTGTAATAATTACACATTGTACATACACTACATTACATTGTACAAACAAAATTTGTAACTGTATAAATAATGATATACAACGTAAAATATTTGAATACTAATTGCTAAATACATTGTACATTTTACGAACGAAATTTGTAGCTGTATAAATAAAGATATCAAACGTAAAATATTTGAATACTAATTGTACATTGTACATACACTGTACAGTGTACATACACTACAGTACATTGTACGAACGAAATTTGTAACTGTGTAAAGATATTCAGCGTAGAATATTTGAATACTAATGTAGCTAAATATTTTTTTAAGTAAACATTTTATGTTCTCATAATGATTTTATGAAATTCCTGTTTTTCCATGAAAACACTGTATTTTACAGGTTTTACTCAAATTCAGGTTTAAGGGATTTCAATAATGTTGAGAACACTACTGAGAGAATAATCGTCATTGTTGTCCTTTAATCATAAGGGGAAGGGGGTTGAAGAGAGATGGGGTGACGTACTCAATTTTATAAAACATATTCTTTCTCAATATATGTATAAGTAAAAACAAGTCTGATTCATGAATGCTTGGAATATATGGAATATATATTAAGGAAATATATAAACAAAGATGAGACTAATTACAATTAGCATAATCAAGACATAGCAGACCTGTGGGATAACATTTTTGTTTTAATTTTTACGGGAAAACCTTATTTTAAGATTCGATTTAATTTTTATTATTTCAGAATCAAAAAACAGTCTAAAGTTGATTTAGAGCTATTCAATTGTACAGTTTTATAAGTGAAACTTGTTTATTATTGACATTTTAACACTAGTAATATCTTAATTATTATAAACAAATGTAAACATAAATCAATTTGATATTAAATACCAGTCTAAAGTTGATTTAGAGCTATTCAATTGTACAGTTTTATAAGTGAAACTTGTTTATTATTGACATTTTAACACTAGTAATATCTTCATTATTATAAACAAATGATAAACAAATGTGAACATAAAACAATTTGATATTAAATACCAGTCTAAAGTTTATTTAAAGCTATTCAATTGTACAGTTTTATAAGTGAAACTTGGTTTTTATTGACATTTTAACACTAGTAATATCTTCATTATTATAAACAAATGTGAACATAAAACAATTAATTTGATATTATGAAAAAAAAATGGCAACAGATAAAAAGTAAGATAAACTTCAGAGACAAACTTTGGAGAGATAAAGTTTGGAGAGACAAACCAAGCTTAGTAGAGACAAAGTTGGAGAGACAAACTTCAGAGAGATAAAATTTGGAGAGACAAACTAAGAGAGACCAACTTTTGAGGGACAAACTTCATAGAGACCAACTTTGAACCGACAAACTTTGGAGTGACAAACTCTGGAGAGACAAACTCCGGGCAAATGTTGGACTGACAAATTTTGATGATACATTTTGACAGGCAAACTTCAAAAACATAAATTTGGAAGAGACAACTTTTGTAAAGACTAATTCCGAAGTGAAATTATTAAGTTTTATTTTTTCATTTAGGCCTGGATCACGAACTCCTACCAGGCGTCAGGGGTTGTAGTGTTCGCTACCACGGACAAGTCCAAGAAGCACAAGGGGATCAGTGCTTTCATCGTACCAAAACCCACCGAGGGACTTAGCCTTGGAAAGAAGGAGGACAAGCTGGGGATCAGGGCCTCCGCCACCAGCAACGTAATCTTCGAGGACTGTAAGATCCCGAAGGAGAACTTGTTGGGAGAGGCGGGGATGGGGTTCAAGATTGCCATGCAAACCTTGGACTCCGGCAGAATAGGTATCGCTGCACAGGCTCTAGGTAGGATTTTCTTCTGTATTTTGTAATTGATGAAATAATTCTTTCATTTAAAAAAAACTTCCTTTAAACATTTTTCATTTATTTTACAAAATCCCCCCTACAAAAAAACCCGCAGGTTTTGTCAAAAATGTGAGAAAATTATTATAAGAAACATAAACCCCTTTTCTTATTTTCAACTTTGTTTAAGGTATTGCTAAAAATGCATTTGACACGGCTGTCGACTATTCAGCTAAACGTAATTCATTTGGTGCTCCTATCTCTAAACTTCAGATGATCCAATCTAAGATTGCAGATATGGCTTTACGGTGAGTTAAACCATTTTATTCACAATTCGAAAGTATTTTCTTTTGTTGGGTCAAAGCTTGAACGTTGGCATATATAAAGTAGTTATCTCTATTTCTCTGTTTGGATGTCTGATCATAACTTTTGAACCCCTTGACCGGGAACTTGGTAGTAGAGTGGGTTGACTTTATTTATAATGAAAACTCCAGTCTAAGCTGGGTTCCCAAGCTAGTTCAAAATATTCAAAGATAAACTATATCTATATATATTATCTGAGAAGTCACGAAAAGATCATACCATTTTGGAAACCGAAAATTACAAACAAAAAACCATGAAACCATGAAAAATCAGAAAAATTTGTAAAATTGAGTAAGACCAAAAACTAAACTGTAAATAATTGTAAAAATCATCATTTAAATTGTTGATGATTCTAGGATAGAGATGTCCGAGATGATGATGTATAAAGCTGCTTCTCTGAAGGATGCTGGAAAACCATTCACCAAGGAGGCTGCAATGGCAAAGCTTGCCTGCTCTGAAACTGCTACATATGTCGCTCATCAAGCTATTCAGGTACTGGTTTAAGTCCCGTTTAACATAGCAATTGAGAGACGAGGTTAAGATCGTCTTTGATCTATTGCAATATGATAACAAAGGGTGTATCATCATCTATTTATCTTAAAATTCAAAGATATTTTTTAGACTTATAATCGGTGCTTAGGATCCATTTAATTTTGATGCGGATCCGGATCCAGGTCATTTCTTTAGGATTTACTGAATTTTTTTTAACAAGATAATGTTTAAAGTTTTTGTTTTATTTTTATTCTAAAACTTATTAACCATTCAGAAATGAGGAAATTTTCATAATCTTTCTTTTTTTCAAAAGTTCAGATTTGGGTTTTAGAAGTAAAAAAGTTTTTTGTTGCAGTTTTCTGTTGTTATTTTATCCCTTGGATACGGATCCGGATCCTAAGCACTGTTAAAAATTAAATTTGAATTCTGTATATATATCTGATAATCTTGTAATTTCGAAAACAGAAAATAAAGTAGACCACGTAGAATTATCAAACGGTGGGCCTTAAGGAGAGTTTATTTACTGTACAAAAAAGTAGACCACGTAGAATTATCCAACGGTTGACCTTAAGGAGAATTTATTTACTGTACAAAAAAGTAGACCACGTAGAATTATCCAACGGTTTGCCTTAAGGATAGTTTATTTACTGTACAAAAAAGTAGACCACGTAGAAATATCCAACGGTGGGCCTTAAGGAGAATTTATTTACTGTACAAAAAAGAAATCGGAAATACACAATGAACTCGGTTTCGGGGGATAAAAACTGGTTTAAGCAGTCTGTTAACAAACAATCTAATTAGGCTTATTTCGAAACAATATCTACAGTTCCGACATGAACATGGTGGGGGAACAGGTCATGCAAAGAAGGCAGTTAGAGGGGAGGGGGGGCTCAATTCTTTTTAACGCAGATCTATTTAAATATATTTCCCTTGCCTGTATGTTTGTTTTTCCGTTTATTCCCAATCTTTAAATACTTGGTTCAATTTCATGTTCCAGTTCAAGTCCAGTTTCGGATGCATTTGTTGACAAACAACCACTATACATTCGTACAGCCACCGAAAATGAGTTCATTGTGAATTAAAGAATTTGTTGCACACTGAGTACTAAATTCTCTTATTGCCTTTCCTTACCTTGGAATTATTAATGAAAGTATCATATTAGTAAAATAAGGTAAAACGAACGAATCCTATAAAAAGTTGTCATGTTTATTCTGTATGTCTGTTCCGATTACTGCGAGTTTCGGCAATAATAGTCCAGCCCCTTCAGGAATTTGAAATGTAATTTCAACTAACTCTTTAAGATTAAAATCATCTATTTTGTTCTTTCTTGCTTTGGAAAAAAATTCTACCCGCCAAAATTCATTTTTTTCTTGAAACATAGAAACCTGAGATTAATATGAAAGAAAAATAAAGATTATTTATGATTAGTTACTCAAATAATAATATTTTGTAGAATTTGTCATTCTAAACATTATTTTTATTTTTATTTAATTATTATCAATTATTATTTTTTTGAAAATAATTTGATATGATTTTAGGTGTTAGGAGGAATGGGATACGTATCTGATATGTGTGTTGAAAGGAATTACAGAGATGCCAGAATTACAGAAATTTACGAGGTAAACGTTTAATCTCTTGTCAATATAATAATCATAACCAATTGTTATGTCAAGTATCATTTCGACGAATTTAGGACGATCTCTCATAAACATTAAACACAGTAAAATGACAGTTGACAATTTCTGGTTTTGATTTTACTTCATTTCAGGCATTTGTTGAATTGTTTTATTCTTGATAGGTTTCATTTCTTGGTTTAGTTAAATTAATTTATAATTGAAAATACTGGGAGCTAAATAAGAAACATTAAGTCTAATGCTTTTGCTAACCTTAACCTCTAAAATTATTTCAGGGAACCTCGGAGATCCAGAGGCTGGTTATTGCTGGGAACGTGATGAAGGAGTACGGGTTCTAGCAGAGAGTCTAGTACGGAGTAAACCTTGAAAACTGAACCCGAACCTGATTCTAAACCTGAACCTTATCATAAATTAGGACAGATAAACTTTCTACAATAGATTTTTATCCCTGAACTTAGATAATGATTGACCCATAGGCATAGTGTATTTTTATATAAATTTCCTACCATTTATGTAACAGCACTGGGAAAGTACTACAGAAGAAAAATCATAGAATAAATTTATTTAAACTAATATATATTGTATATTTAGAAAATAATGGATTAAAATCATGTGGGGGAAGAGTTCCAAGCCTCCTGGAGAAGGTAAATCTTAATAATGCAGAACAAGATAAATACGTTATGTTTTGAACGTTCCATATTATATTGGATTAACCCTCGAATAAAGACATAATACTTGAAACCCCTAGTATTTTCAACATGCAAATTTTTATATAAGCTTTTTAAATGATTAATTCTTTTTGATTTTCGGACTAGTTCCCGAAATCGCAATTAAAAGCTATAAACTATCTTATAAGATATGAGACATCCTGTAATTAGACAATAGACATGGTATAAAGTGGTAACCAGAACATACTGGGAAATGTGTCTACAATAACACGTTATTGATGAAATTTTTTGGCACATGCACATTGCAAAATATTGTGCAAAGAATTTCATTAGGTTTCCTCAAACAAACAAGGAAAATAATTGACAATTATGAAAATATTTAATGCAGGTAAGGAGAGGCGAGATGTAGCCATGACAACGCAAGCTGAGATGATTTTGAAGAAAAAGCGGGAAATTGAGGCTAAAATGGCGTCCGATGAAAAGAAGGAAAAACTGGCGGGACAACCTAGAAAGCCTATTTCTATGAGTATCAGCAAACGATGGTAAGCAAGTTGTGAGTTTCTATGTTTTATGTTTTTTGATGAGAATCTACATTAATCATTCATTTTTAATCAGTTTTTAGGACCATCACAAATTTGAGTAGAAGTTGATACTTTTTATCGATTTAAGTTTTGCAAAAATAATTTAAAAAAGAAGAAAAAGAAACTAAATTCAGATGCTCTTTAGATAAAACTAAACGGGATTTCATTTATGGAATTTGTTCTTTCCTTTTTTAAATAATTTTGTTCCCCCCAAAAAAACTTCAAAATTGAATTGTTACAAAAAATTGAAACTTTACACTGATAAAAACTTTATAAATCTGCGAATTTTTAAAGATAAAATTTAATACATTCATCCCTGAAGCAAAAAAGCGTTAAGTACCGACTAAGTTCCAATCTCCCCAAGCTATTAATAATTCTTAAAACACCTCCATTTAAAAACACACAACTTCCTCTGTAAATATGAAATAGTTTTTATCTTAACTTTTTTATAAATAAGGAAGTGGTGGTTAATCAAAATCAAGGAATAAAGGCTGTTTAGGAAGTTAAGTTCTGTTGGACTGGGTTTAAGAACTGAAGAGGGGGGGGGGGCAGGATTTTTGTTTACATTTTTTCGATCTGGTTCGTCAGGACAGCTCAAAAAACTTTTTTAAAAACAAACTCGGGATTACTGAGGAGTTCTGGCGGGCTGGGCCTGAGCAATTACGAATTGAGTTTGTTTACAAAACACATTAACACATTAAAATTCAACAAACCCTGTGTCCCCAAACATAGAACTTGTTAGAATGACTAGACTTGTTTTCCATCCAATGTCTGGTTCAAATTATTGATCACATAAATAATTAACTTATCTAAGTATGCAAACTATTTATTTACGTAAGCGTACTGTATACAGGAGCAAACATTAAATTTATATTTTATCCAAAGATCAATTTATTTATCAAAATAAATACATTTTTCTTTCAAGAAATCAGTCTTGAAATGGTTGAATCTTCTTCAAAAAGAATTTGCGTATTTTTGTCTTATGTAAATGTCAGGACAAAAACACATTATTTGTTTTTAAAGATAAGTAATATTTTTCGAATCAAGTGTTAAAACTCATTAAGGGTAACTTAGAAATTTTTTTGCCGAAAATAGTTTATTTTTATTTTTCTGAAGTTGATACAATTTCAGTTGTAGAAAACCCCCCCTTACATTACTAAAATATTTCTTCATTGTTTAACAAGTAAATATTTTAACCCATGCTTCACAATAGTGATGTTATAAGAAAAAATTATGCTTCTGATGAGTTGGGTAGGCCTAGTTTCTTGGTGAGAGAGTGACGAAAATTCCATTCTTTGGTCGGAGGATAACCTCAGCTAGCAGAGGAATATCTTCCACTTTCACATCACTCTGTGCAATCAATAAATCAACCTGACATCTGAATGGTTGATCAAAGCTAATCAGAAGGGGAAAGCAAATTAGATACAATTTATTATTTATCTTATATTGTGAAAAAGAAAAATTATTTTTCTCTGATTTTGAGTTCTAAGGCGAATCACCTTTTATTAGAACTTTTAAAGATCCTTTGGAAAAATTTATACAATCCCTTAAAAATAGAAATAAATTCGAGAAGGAAGATTCATTGATTTCCTTAAGATTGAAATTTCTTAGAACTGAAGAAATCATTATCTTTTCTTCCATGGTTGCAAACCTAAAATAGAAAGAATCACAGCACGAACAGAAACCGGACTATATCTGACATGTTATCGTCTTCAATTCCACGAAAAGTAATAAATAAATTGGTTTGACATGTTGAGATAGATAAAAATTTCTTACTTTTGTCCAATGCAGTTCCTAGGTCCGGCTGAGAATGGTACATATGCATAGGGATGTCGTTTCTGTGGATTGACGGAAGAAAATCTTTCAGGATCAAACTTGTTAGGCTCTGGGTAGATACTTGGATTACGGTGAAGATGAAACGGGAGCAAGATTACATTTGTATTGGCTGGAACATTGTAGCCTTCAATTTCAACATCTTCACCTAAACAATATTAAAAGAAATTGTTTAAAGATTCAGTTTTTATTTTTTAATCAATTAATTAATATTACCAGTTTTTCGGGAAATGATGGGAACGCTCTGATAAAGCCTAAAGTAGAAAAGTAAAATTTTAGCGTTAAAGAGTCTGTAAGCGTAATTTGAAGTGAGACTCCATGCAAAGCTGCCAATGCCAGACAACACCACCCTTAATACCTTAGATTATGTGGAAGATATTTTCGTTTTTCTATGTTTAAAAGGGGTTTTTAATTCCTGTATGTTTCCCTCCAGTAGAAATGCGCAAGTCACTTTATTAAAGATCCATTAGAAAAGGATCAGTTTTCAAAATTATAAAACATTGATATATAATTCATACTTCAGCATGGAGGGTCACTTGAAATTGTTTTTATTTTATATTGGCTTTTTGAAGTGACCTGAGTGATTCCTTGAGACAAGACTCCAGATATTTCATATTTGCAAGATCAGCAGATTCAGCAGGCCTATCAGATCCAGCAAATATTTGATCAAGCTCCTCCTGGCATTTTTGTTGTATTTCTGGATGTGTAGCAAACATGTAGAGGGTGAAGGTCATGTTTGTAGCCGTAGTGTCATGTCCTTCAAACATGAATGTATCCACTTCCTCCCTAATATCCTCGTCCGACAAGACAGTTCCTCCTTTAGACTCTTTTATAAGTAGATCAAGGAAGGCCATTTTCTTTTTTCGTCCTAGATCATCTGTTCTGGTTTCTTCATCATTCTGAAGTTCTAGTTTTCTCTCCTGAATCACTTGGTTGGTAAAGGAGTGCAGGATTGAGATACATTTCCTCCACTTAGCCCCGGCAGGCGTGAGCTTGTACACAAAATCAGACCAGAGCCAAGGACCTTTCTGTCTTTGAAAGACCAAGTCGGAGCTTTCATAAACAGCCTTGACATATTCAGAGTCACTGTCCTTTTGGGCATTAATATTTTTCCCCATGGCTGTTTCGCAAATAATGTCTAGAGCACAATGCGTTACCAAAGGAAAAATATTGAAAGCAGGTCCATCAGCCTTTGCACTAAGAATGTCGCAGAAAATCTTTGAATGATCGTTCATAATCTCCATGAAATCTTCGAGTATTTTAAAATGAAATGCGGGAGTTAGAAGTTTGCGTCTGGAATGCCATTTAGCCCCAGTGCTGGTAAGAAGTCCTTTTGCCAACCAATCCGAGAGAAATCTGTAATCTTCTCCCTGAAAACAAAAAAATTTAAATAACTAAATCTTAAATTAGTTAAAATATATTCAATGTTACCTTTGTGATCTGTTTGTTGCTGGACAAAATCTTCTCGAAGGCTTCAGGTGTGGATACCGCAAGATTAACCCGGGTTCCAAGATGAAATCTGACAGCAGGTCCATACTTGGCCATCATGGTCGTTATAACAGGCATGAAGTCCTCGGACGGTCCAGAAAACATCAAAGCATTTCCTGAACATTTTTTTATTTAAAGCCATTGCTTGATTTAATTACTGTCTTTCTTACTGGAAATTATAAAATGCATGGTTTTTTTGACAACTTCTCTGTTAGAACTTTTTATTTTGATAAATTCAAATTTCTCAACATCTAAAAACCAATTTTTGTTGCAAACTTACCAACTAAAGGTAGTGGGGTAGGGCCGGGTATGTCCATCATATTTTTCTTCCTATTCCTGAATATGTTTAACCATTGTGCAAGGATATAGATGCATACTCCAAAAAATATCGGAACCAGCATTTTTTCTGAAATAAAATTTAACTTTAGCTGTTCCCGTCCTATAAGCAATATACATTAAAATGTTAATTTCAGGGAACAGTATTTTATGACTCACTTTTAGCACAGCGTAGGAAATAGAAATAATAATTGATCTTTTAAATTTTAATATTAAAACCCTTGACTGTTTTCAAGACAATGTCATGTTTTCAAATTTTTATGATATCGTGAATTGTAATCGTTGTCACGTTTTGGGTACAAATCTCATTTTCCCGTTTAGAGTATAATTCGCAATTCAAAACAAAACTTGCTTTTCTAACTTAGAAAATAAATCTATTGGCACTGCGTAAAATATGAAATGTTTTTATATCAGAGTTCCATTTACGAATTGCGTTTTTACTGAGTTTAACAGCTGAATGAACAGTGTATTTACTAATTAACTAACTATACTCTATCTATCTATTTATCTATAGGAGTGCTTGCATCACTTGACATTTTTCTGTTAATAGTATATTTACTTACTGGATAATGCTTGGATGCTTATCTTATTTATACATTATCTTATCTTATTTATACATTATCTTATCTTAAAATACGTATTTGACACTTGTTGGCTTATTACAATCTTATTCTAATTATTTATAACATAAAAATATAAAAATTTGAAAATTTTTAAAGAATTAAATGATGAATTAAAATTTAGGGGACTGAAGGGAAAGAAATCAGATGCAGGAGGTGGAGAGAATGCGTCCAATCAGTCAACTCCAGGTAGAGAGATTTCCTTCCTCTTGGTTTGAATGAAAAATTAGTTTTATTTAAGAGACATGAAAGTTTTTTTTCTTCAGAAAATTGATTTAACTCTTAAATTTGTTTGTTAGGAAACTCTTGGCGAAAGTACGGTGATTCGAGTAGTCGGGACGGGATAGGGTTGCCGGAGAACAACTCAAAGAGGTCGGATCAAATACCTACTTCTCAAGGTTATGATTCAACTGCCAGATCCCGCCAAGAATCACCTGCTTCTGGCTCCTACAACTTACTGGGAGAACCTCAGGTTCTCAACAGCTTACAACAACTCCAGCAGGGATACCAACAGCAACAGATACAACAACAGCAGCAGCAGCAGCAACATCAACAGATGCAGCAGCAGCAGATTCAAATTCAAGGACTGGGCCAACTTCAGAGCCTGCATCAACATCCCTTGCAACAGGGGCAACCTCCGGGTATACAACAAATTCCTCCGCATGCTTTGCAGCAGGGTCCTCCCCCTGGTCTTCCACAGGGACCCCCTCTTGGATTCATGGGTCCAGGATTAAGTTTACACCAACATGGACCTCCCTTACCTGGAATCCATGCAGTTCCAGCTCCTGGACTACAAGGACCTCCACTAGGTCTCCCCCAAGGGTTCAATCCTCTGGGATATGAAGGACTTCAACCTCATCCTGTATTTCCTGGAGGCCAGAATCCTCAGCCACAAGGTCCTCCTTTGAACCAGCCTCCTCCTTTCCTTCCTCAACACCATCCTCCGCAACATCAACAACAATATGATCTTTCACAACCACCTCCTAGTATTCAGCCATCACAGCCCCACACCTCACAGCAGATACAGTTTAATATACATGGACCACCACCGTCCCCACAGGGTTTACTTCCTTCAGTTTCTCTCCCTATGCAGATACACCCGGAGCATCAACCCGTCCTACCTATGCACACTTCTGCTCCTGTAACTCATTCTTCTCACCTACCAATGATGGGAGGACCCCTTCTTCATCTAGGAATGCCTCCTCAATCCCTCCCTCAGCCTCCTCCCGTCCATCCTCCCCCTCATATAATGACAAGTATGGCGCCAGGGTTACCCCCTGTACAGTTCAATGTACAGCAGCAAGGATACGGGACAATATCAAACTCGGACTCAAACCTGAGCCAACCTCAAGCCATGGTTTCATTCCCTCCGACCCAGACCGTTCTTACATCATCCTTGCAGCCTCAGCATATGCTCAACCAGCCTCCGCTTAGTATACCCTTGAGCATACCTCCGCCCCAGCTGCCTCTTGGACCCGTCGGTCTATCTGTTCCTTCTCATCCTCCGCCTGTCATATCCCATCCTCCACCCACCACCTCGACTTCCTTACCGTCACATCATAACATGTCAATCCCTCCGCCTTCTACCACACATTCAATGATGCCTTTTAGCACTCAACCTCCGCCAACTGTGAATACATCATATCCACCTCCTATGAATCAAAATGATAAGAATGCTCCGCAATGGTGGGGGGACACACTCTCCAAAGTTAAGAATATCGCGCAGAACTTCGGCGACGGAGATGCTAGTCATTCCGAGCGACAAGGTAGATTTAACTTTAAATTGATATGGATTCTAAATCTTGAAAATGAAAAATAAACAATTACAAATATTATTTGATATTTTAGAGGGTAATGAATCCAGTAGTTCTAACTGGAACAGAAATACATCCAGTCTGAGAAGGGATCGACGGAGATCCAATTCCAAAGATAGAAAGTATGGCCGAGGCCGGGATCGAGGCCGAGACCGGTCCCGTGACAGGCACAGGTCCCGCAGCAGAAATTCCCGAGACGGAGAAAGATCTAGAAACAGAGATCGATCTCGGGATCGTCACATCTCGTCCCAATCCTCGAACCGGTCAACCCTGATCAAGGAGGAGGATATGAAACATGAACCTGAAACCTACGGATATAAATCTGAAAACTATGACAAGGTTTCCACCAGTATCAAACAGGAGGTTAAGGTAGAGCCTAGAGATATAGATATGAGGAAAAGTAGAAGAGAATCTGAATCCTACTCACCAACACGTCCAGACTATAAACCTACCATCAAACAACAAGGTAACATTATTTTGCTCAAAGGTGGCGCTAACTGCTTGGGGGGAGGAGAATTCGAAATAAGACTTACATGTACACAGGTGGCACTCATCATGGTTCATTTTTTTATTTTGTGTTGTTTCTATCGATAAAGTTGCAAAGATAAAAATATTAGAAATCAAACCGTAAATAAATAATAGAATATCTCCCTGACAGATCTTTACATTCTTGGATCTCATTACAATTTGTGAATTTTATCCAGTTTGTAGCGCAGATGGTCCCCTGCCTAGTGTGGTGGAGGAGCTGGCGAGCATGGTGGCAGTGTCCGGGGAGGATCTAGAGGATATTGCCAGGGATAGGAACAAATCTACACCAGAGCTTAAGTAAGTTGCCAAGGTTGAAGATTATCCAGAGGTAGAACTTTTGTGTAGAATGTACGGCTTAGTCGAGGATTTCTATCACAGGGGAAAAACTGATGAACGACACAAAAGTTTCGCCCTCAGAGGTCTAACCTTTTGTATCGTTAATCTACTCAGGAAGACTAGTTAACTTTTGGATATCTCTAAAGTTCCGACCAGTAAGAAGCCACACTACTCTCGGCCAATGAGAGATTGCGATAATATAAATTTCTGTTAAGTATATCGAATTTAAACGCGTATTTTAGAAAATCACGTTCTCCTACAAAAGTTCTGACATCATATTAAAAAGCTTAAATATTAACTCTTGGATTTTGCAGCCGTGAATTACATTGGCGGTCGCTTTCAAGTTTTTTATTAAAACTTCTAATTTTCTTAGGTTTTTGTTTGAACGAACAGGTCACCTCTACCGTAAATACCGGGCTAGGGTTGCAGAGTTAAAGAAGAGTTTCGACGAAACCAAAACTGAAGTGAAAGATGAACCAGGGAGCTCAACTAAAGCCTCAGCTCCAGCTGCAGGTAGGTTGAGAGAATAAACAGAGGGGAAGGGGGTAGAAAACTTAATATTGAATAACTATATATTCCGTGCACTGCTCATCTTTCGGAAATGTCAGAGACATTTCAATTTTGCAGGATAACAAGACAGCATTTTCGTTTACTCTAAATAACTTGACTTGACTTCTGGAATTAAAATGGTCATGCTATTCCTATTCTTATAAGAACGTCTTGTTTAAGATTATATATTTTGAATAAACTTTGCTTGTCTGTATGCTTGTTTGTTTTTGACCGATAAATGTCAAAACGGCTGAACCGGTCGGTCCCAAAGTTTTTGTGGGACCTCACTCGACCCCAGAGAAGGTTTGTGTATGCTCAAAATTACAATAAATTGTCAACAAAGTTTTTTTTGTTGTAAAATTTTATAGTTTTATCGATGAGAAGAAACTGAAAGATTGAGCAACAATTGAAAGTTGAAATAGAAGATGGCCCTTATAGCCTAGTATTGACATATTTCTGTATTTAGAACCTGTTCGGAAGCGCAAAAGTAGATGGGGAGACCAGACACCTACTCCTTCTCCTCAACTAAACACTCTACCCCCACCTGGAGTACTTACCTCACTTCCCTCCATAGGTCAGATATTTTACTGAACAAATTGATACTAAAAACATACATTCTATTATTTTTTCCCCCCGTAGATTCATCCTTATTTCCTATTTTATAAAACGTGCGATGTGTTAATTATTTAAAAATATTAAATCTGGAAAAAAATTGGAAGGAAAATTGTCAAATTTTAAGAACAAATGAAAAGATAATATTCTTCAAACTGGCCACTATTTGAATTTTTCATATAATGAATTCTATTCAACAAAAGTTTTTCGTATATACAAAGATCGCAGTTCTAAATAGTTGTATCTAAATGTAGGTGCCCCTGGCCTCGTGATCCCTACCCAGCTAGGAGGCCCTGTAGTTAAGGTTGAAGCCCCTCCTGGACCTAAACTCTTGGATATCCGGCAGGGGAACCCTGCCCTAGCACAGTACGCTGTCAAGGTCTTTGGTTCAACTAATCTCACAGATGCACAATGGAAGCAGTGCGAGGATCAGCTGAAGGTCAATATTTTTCATTTACTAAACCAGGGGTGAATATTCGAAGAGTTTCCCCCTGCACTCGGGGGAAAAATGAAAAATTGGACATCAAAAAGCAAATTATTTCATATTTTTCATACTTATTATCCAAACATTTATCATATATTTTCCTCAGTTTTGCGAATTTAACCCTAAATAAATTCCCTCAGCGCAAACATACCCAACTCCAGGGGAAAAAATTATTTTGCAAGATTAAATACACTCATGAATAAACCAGATAATCTAGATTCTTGATCCGTTCCGTGAATAAATTGACCTAGCTCTACAAGAAAAGTTAAATCAACTTTGTTTAAGTATGAAGATCTTCGATATTTTATTTATATTTGACCACTTTGTATTTGCGGATCCACACATTTAAATCTGCACAATTTTGCGGATCCTCGGATCCTTGGTCTTAAACCCAGTCCATTATTGATAATAATTTAGATGTCCGTTGTGTACGGCCAGCTTGCTGCTAAACAGGCCGCTGCGCGGATTATGGCTGCCTCGGGGAAACGAAAACATGAGTACGACAGTGATGAAGATACAGAAGGAGGTAAGATTGTGATTTTTTATCTTTTATTTACAAAAATAAAGTGTATTAAATTTCTCTTGTATTTTTTACCATTTGTAGGGCGTTTATAAATTTTATTTGTGGTAAGTTATTTTTTAAGGAGTTTCAGGAGTACGATAGAAAGACAGCATTTTTTGTTCTGTTTTGAATATAGGGCAGTTTTAAGATGGGCCTCTTCCTCTGGCCAGTTCTTCCTTATTTAACTTGATCAAGTTTCCAAAAATATTATTATTCCGTTTATAATGTAATATATAGTTTTCGTGTTAAAGCATGTATGTAAATGAACTATCAAGGTACGTGGGAGCATAAGGCAAGAATCGCTGAGATGGCAAAGACCGCTGCTGAAGCTGCAAAACAAACAGCTGCTCTCGAGGTGGAGGGGAAGCATCACATTGGAGATTTCCTTCCCCCGGAAGAGCTTTCAAAATTCATGAATAAAATGAAGGTATATCTTGGAGAAACCTTGCAGTTATTTGATATTGGGAAGAGATTATTTAGAACTCGATTTTATTCATCAATTTTTTTTTTGTTTATTTATTGTTTCTAGGTTAATATTTTACGTGTATCCTATTTGTTACTGAAGAACACCACAAAGAAATAAGAACTTGGCTTTTTATTTTAGATTTTTAAAAAATCCGCCAAATTTTGATAGATTTGCGAGTTTAGGCGATGAGAAGTGGGACAGCCTGGGACAACTCTGAGTATCAGGAGAATAAACTGAGTCAGGACAATGTCGGGTTCAAGATGCTCCAGAGGATGGGTTGGTCAGAAGGTGCAGGTCTAGGAGCAGGGGGGATGGGGATTACCGCCCCCATTGGAAAGTAAGAGATGATCCCTTCTCTTGTTATATAGTTGCTTTATAATGAACCATGTATTTATTAGTTTTTCATTTTGCTTCGATAAACCCAGAGAATTTGTTATCATTTCCAATGGAAGCATGCCAAGTATTTCAGGGGTGTATATTTTCCTAAAAAATCATTGCCCCCCCCTTTAGAAGATCATGTTTTCCTCAGAAGTTGTATATGGTTGCTCGGAGCGCAAACATTTTTAAAGATTTTTTTTCGGTATTTGGGAAAATAAATGATTTTTTGGACAAGAATGAAAAAACATGCTTTTTTGCTGTCCCATATTCCTCTAAAATCATTTTCCCCTGGTGTAATTCTCAAAAATACATACCCCTGGTATACAAAATATTGAAATTAGAATTCAGGGATTATATATTGTAGATTGTCTTAATTTCTCCCCTTAAAGTATAATGTCAAATCAAACCTTTATGTTGAGAAATTATTTCAATAATAGTTAGATAACATCTCTGTTATTTTTAGTGTGCTGTTTCATATAAGGGCATTTGCCATTTTCTGTTGTTCGCACATGCCCCGTAAAATTCCAAAACAGAGAGGGGGATTGAATTTTGTAGATCCAGAAAAATAATATCTGTGGGATGCCTGCGTAGAGACTGGGGGGGTCTTAAATGTAAGACATGTGGCCGCAGCGCTCGACCTTTTAGCCTGTACTAGCCGCAGCGCTCAGACTGGAAAGTGTCATAACTTAACCTAACCCGTGGCCGCAGCGCTCAGCCCCCTAGCCTGTCCTAGCCGCAGCGCTCGGCCCAGAAAGTGGCTTAACCTAACCCTAATTAAATACTAATTTGATTATTTTTCTGGATCTTCAAAATTCAATCCCCCTCTCTGTTATGGAATTTTACGGGGCATGTGCGCACAACAGAAAATGGCAAATACCTTATATGGATATATATATATCAAAAGACCGATTTATTTTTTCCAACTTTCGAACATAATTAGGAAGTTGTGGATTTTTTAACTCCAAAAACATTTATTAGATTTGATTTCTAAACTCAGTTTTTAAAACCTAAAGAAGGTTGATTTTAATGATATGTTATATTTTTTAAATTTGGAAAAATATCCATAAAATTTGTTCAAAGGTTGAATCACGTGAGGCAACAAGGATGCAATAAATATAAGGTCTTGGGAAGCCTCTGTAATGTAATATTCCCTCCTATATTTACTGCATCCCTAATATCTCCCTGTCATGAAGAGCTAAATAGTTGAAACGCATCGATCCTTTTCCCCTAACTACTTTTTAGGATTCATAGTGTGTGCTTGGACTGTTAAAAACTCCCAGCACTCACTTTGTCGTTTAGTTTACTATCCTTTGTGCACACTTGGTCTATTTGCTAGGTCTTCAAAAACGTTATTTTGAATGTTATATCTATGACCGGGTTATAGCCCAAGCGTGCGCATTTCCTATTTTTAATGATCTGTATTTTCATTCCTTGTACAATTAATGCCATGTAAATCCACCGAATCTAAGGATGTGATTTTAAAGACTACCAAACGTAATTTAAATATTAATTGGAAACCAGTTTCTGTTTTTGAAATTTTTTTTAAGTAAACCATTATAATGTTACGTTTTAGATAGATTTAACCTTTAGATCTTCATTTTTAAAAGTTTTGGGTCGTTAAAAGTCTCCTTCTTTTTGGGTAACCCTTAATTAGTTCCATTTTACGTCATCAATATCGTAGTTTTTTGCGATCAAAAACCCTTTGGTTCGTTTCCTAAAGTTCGGTTGAGAAGACACCATGCATCTAAAAAGTAGAAGCCTGCATCTACACCTGTAATTATGTTTAAAACCCGTTCAGTAGTTTTGATCGTTATCAATGTCGTCTCGGAGATCTGTGATCTAATGTGTTTCTGAGTTTAGGTCAGGAGGAGGGTTGGAGAGAGCAGGACTGGGAATGGATATGCCCGGAGAGATAAACGAGGATGATGATGAGTTTGATACGTATAGAAAACGAATGATGATGGCCTACAGGTTCCGTCCCAACCCCTTGGTAAGAGATACAATTTAACTCACCATGAGACCCATAAAAGTTGGAATAGGATGACGACTGTTAGACTCGATATATGATTTTAAATAGTCCAATGAAAATGAAGCACAGCTATTATTTTTTGGACACTGTGCTGTTATAGTATAAACAGACCTTTTTACTTTTAAAGTCGGTTTTCTACACAAAATATTGTTCAAATGGCGTCTTCCTTTTCTGCAGTTTTATGGTGCTCACTGTAATAAAATTGACGTTTTTTTAATAAAGCTATAAATGTTAAATTGTGTTATAATTGAAGCTTAAATTTTGTCATTTGTTTAGAACAATCCTCGGCGGTCCTACTACTGACCGGGTCTAGTCAGGTACGCGAGCAAAATAAGTGACGCAGGAATGTACAGTGCGTACGTGAACTAGGAGTAGTTACTCAAAGGCAAGCATGTACATTGTACATGTTCAAACGGATTACTTAGAGGTACATGTGTACATAGAATTCAAGGCTTTTGTTCGGTTACTGCAAATAAAGGATTATATAGTTTGTTCTGATATAAAACATATTGGTAAATGTGAGGTACATAAAATGCAAGGTTGTCCCAAAAATCGGTTAGTTCATGTCAGAACCTAAATGATTGTTTTCTATAATCTACAAGATCTACTTTAAAGTCTGCTCTAACGAAAGGATTCTATTGTGTTCATAGCAGATTTTATTAAACAAATTAGATTTGTAAATACTTTTTTGTGATACGTTTAACTCGATACCAAGCTGAACTTGGTGTCCTTAAAGAAATATTGTGAATTTACCGTTTATTGGGGTGTTACCTTGTACAAATGTACAAACTTTGTTAAAGGTTGACGTAACGAATGCAGAAGTATGTATATTATATATATAATAAAAGTATATAAAATTCATGTTTTCCCCTTTCCTTTGTTCGAATGAAAATGAAAGAATTTTTTTGCCTTTGACTTTTTATGTTCACTTTTCAGACTTGTTAAATGCTGTTGTATTTTATTTGAAATAAAAAATTCAATTTAAACTTGAGCCACGGATGCCTTTACATCAATATATTTTCCACAATGTTAAAGCATTTCTACGCGTATCAACGGTTAAGTTTTTGTTGCTAAAATAAAAGTAAATATAATTCCCCAGCTCGCCTGTTAATCTATACTTACTGTTAATAAAAAATGTTTAAATACTTAATTTGGGTTTCTTTAGAAATAAATATTGAGGTAGCAGATGAATATATTTTTTTCATGTTGTAAGCATACTGTATTACTTTATGTGAATATCTCTTGGTCTCATCAAGTTTCTATTTCAGCTTTTGTTGGTAAGGTATAAGTAAGGTTGGGTAATGGGATTTTGCTCTAAAGATCAAAACAGAGTTTTAAATAGTTGAACTTTTAATGGTAAAATTTTGTTGTTACGACAATTAAAATTTAAACTATTATGCCTGCAGGGCTGTGCACGTTCCAGCTTTTTGAGAAATGAAAATTTTCTGTAAGCCGTTAATTTTAACGGTAACAACGGAATGTTCGTTCCGTTAACGGCATTTTCCTTTTTTAAATTAACGTTTTTTAACGATCTCAATTTTAATAACGGGGTTAGCGGAAAATTTTCAACAATCGTTAACGGATCTACCCGTTAGTGATACCGTTTTTACTAAATTAACAGTTGAAAAATCTTGAACGGCACAGCCTTTTACGGTGTATTACAGTATTTACGGCAAAATATTTCGTTTTTAAAAAAAATCGTGCAGTTTTAATCAGAAAATAATGAAATTTACCGTTTTTAGCTTTTTTAAATAACGTTTCTAATCGTTAATTTTTTTCGTTAACGATTTAAAAATTAATGTCTTTTGTCGTTCGTAAACTGAATATTCCGTCAATTTTCGAAAATCTCCATTTCGTTAAAGGAACTTTGCCCAGCCCTAATTATGCCTGGACATGAATTTTATTTCAAAACATCGTGCGTTTTCATCTTTTTCTATTAAGTAAATAATTCCAAAACAATACACAGTGAGAACCAGAAAACTGTAACTGTAAAGGAAGACTACATTAAATGATACTTATGGGGTTTTAATACCACTATTGACTTATGAAATCGCTTTTAATATGTTTACACTGAATGTTTATTTTTATTGAATTAAAATTCGTCTTTCTGTTGCGTAGTATTCTTTTCTGTATTTAAGTGTGAGATATATATGATTTTATATAATCTACGTGTGCACTGTATCATTTTCAGGACTATTGTACTTGCATTTAGAGCTGGGTTTAAGATTCCGATAGTTAAAACTTATAAATATTAATTTAGTTTTCATAATTTTAAGTATACGTCTGCAAATTTCTATCATGATATGTTATTGCAGTTGGTTAAACTTTCTAACACGTCTACACAGTGCTTACGAAGTTGCAATCCATAGTTTTGATGTGGATTTATTTATAGTTACAAATGTAAACGGATCCAGCTCATGAATACTTCTTTTTCACCATTTTATAATTCGGATGGCTTTACATCTCAAATGGTTAACCCTACACAATTTTTGTCTAAAGATCAACAGTTAAATGTTAAGATCCATGCATTAACCAAAATTAATTAGTTTGCTCTATATAAGAACAAATTGTTAACTAATAACAAAAATTTCAAATTTCTGAATGGTAATAATGGATTAATGTTGAGCAAAGAGGAAAAAGTTGAAAAATAGTTAAAAATTTTAAATTTGTATAAAATAATCAGTAAATTTTAAGGAAATGTTCAAGGCGTTTTTTCTCCTGGCGGATCCAGGATTCGGATCCACATCAAAATGAAATGAACCTTTCGATCCGATTAAAAAATGTATCGATCCTTCTTAAACAATAAGTTTTTTTCAAAAATTGTAGTTTAATTTAATTGTTTATGATCTTATGGTGTTTGACTGAAGGTATAGATACGGCATGTACTGTACAATGTACATAGGTACGTTTATGAGCTGTTCCATGGCTAACGTTTTGGAAACATCTCATAGATACAGAATTTATTTATTGTATAATTGTTCTTACGCTGCTAAACTTGCATATTGTATCATCACTATTGAATGAAATGTGATCTAAATCACAAGATTTTGAGAGGTAATTACGTTAAATGTGGAAATTATTAAGAGAATTAAAAGTATTATATGTTGTATAAATTACACAATTAAATTATGCTAATCAGAGTTAATAATTGTACTAATTAGAACCGACATCAAAGTGCGTTGATTAAATATGAATTTAATAAAATTTTATCTGTATTTTTGAGAAAGCATTTTTTCTGCAATTTTATTCTTAACTATTACATAAAGACCTTATCATTATACGGTTCCCTGTATCCCTGTATCTGCAGCTGAAACCTGCTACCGGAGTAAGTTTGTAATACGTCCCGTCCCGCTTTTATCCGCGGCAGTTCAATCTCTGCTCTAGGGTGGAAACAAAGTACTAGTTGCCATTTTGACTTTAAACTAGAATATCCTTAATTAAGCAGACTGAACCAGTGAGTGGAGAGTTTTCTTTGATCACAGTTTTAAATAGTTATGGTTTCATGGGTCCAGTTTTAGTATTTAGAAGTCACCCTGTATTTCAGTGTTGATCTGATGAAACTGAAATGATGAGGATGATTTAAAAATGTCAATATATATTGGGGGCCCGCACCAGGGGACTGCCATGGAGCAGGCACCTTCCTATACACCCGACTCTAAGGTAAAATTTTTCAAAATTGTAAAATATAATAAAATGAAAATCTTAACAAACCCTGGGTAGAGAAAAAGCATTCTTTATCAAGCGGACTGTTCCTCTATATTAATATTAGACAGTCAACGTAATTTAGAAATACCTTTATTAAGCGGACTGTTCCTCTATATTAATATTAGACCGTCAACGTAATTTAGAAATACCTTTATCAAGCGGACTGTTCCTCTATATTAATATTAGACCGTCCACGTAATAATCTCAAAATTGATATGTTCCTCTTGAAGGTGACTTGTGGATTTATTTAGCTAGAAGACAAAGATGTAAAAAAAATACAACATTTTTTGCAAGAAAAACAAGGACATCTTCGTCATCTTTTATAAAATCCTCTTAAGACAAGTTTTAATGGCACGCCTTGAAATTGGACATCTTAAATGGAAGGTTTCTTAAAATTACGTTATCAGTCCCTTTAATACAAGTATTTAAAAATGTCCCTTCAACAGAAGTATCTAAAATTGTCCCTTTAATACAAGTATTTAAAAATGTTCCTTTAATATATATAAAAATGTTGGGTGTAGTATAGTAGTGTGTAGATGTGTAGAAGTGTAAACTGTGTGTCACATGTATTATGTAAAGATTATAAAACAGGTTTAATTTTTCTAGGTCACGGACAACACTTATATAAATGCTTCTGTCTCACATTTTGTCTTCTAAATGTTGAAACTTTTTCAATTTAGCAAAATATAATTATAAAACGATTTAGACATTTGATTTTTTATTACGTTTTTGTAGTTTAAATAGTAAAAATGCACACGATACACTGAACTGCCGGTATATTAGACGTAAAAATTGGCAGCAGCTTCATTAAGTATAACAAATCATTTCCCGGGGAAGGGGGGGGGGTTAATTCCCAGAAATATATACCCCCAGATGTTTAATCATGTGTAAGGTCTATTGTTATTGCAGGCGCCCCTTGAGATACTGATGAGGGTGCAGATGTGGATCTCCTCGGAGTTTAAGAACCTCTCCTCCACAATCCTCAACGATTCAAACTCGGATCAGTATCTCAGGTAGGACAAGCTATACCCCCAAAAATAAGAGGGAACTAGGCTTTTAGGACTTTTTTCTTCGTACAATGAAAAACAAACTTCCATCAGAAATGCGTAACTGGATATTCATAAGTTTTCATTTACATTTTAAAGCTAATTTTTAAATTTCGACTGGCCATAGACCTTTCCATATGTGGACCTAATCGGTTTAACCGTTTTGAGGTGTATTTGATACAAAGAAACCACAAGCAGAGCTAGTAGTCAGAACGGAGTCATGTCCATCTTCTATATATAAATTTGGCTTGTCTGTTTGTCTGTCTGTCTGTTTGTATCCAATAAACGTCAAAACGGCTGAACCGATCGGGCCCAAATTTTTTGTGGGACATCTAGGGACCCCAGGGAAGGTTTATGAATGATTGAAATTTTAAAAATTTGTGTTTTAAAGGTTTTTAATTTTGTAAAAAAAAAATTTTTTTGAAAATCCGCGATTTTTTTATTAAAAATTCGCAAAATTTTTTTCATCTGTGTTTTGAAATGTAAACAAAAAGAACATGTTCACAATTTAAATAGAAGATGGGCGCGAAGCGCCCTAAAAGCCTAGAAAGAAGGGCGCGAAGCGCCTTGAATTTCTAGTATAATTATACTTTTTTTAAATGAAAGTTTTCCAAGTACACTTTTTCTCCCAAAGAATGGTTTCTAAACTAAGTGATCTGCAGTGCACTGACCAAATACATGTAGGGGTTTAGTGGAGAGTGTTCTTGGTCTTATACCCAGTATACTTTTTCTTGCAGTAAAGATTCTTAATTTAAATATTCTTATTGTTAAATAAACAATAGCCTAAAATTCCATTTCAGCCTAAAATTTATTAAGATACTGAGAATTAATTTATCATGTTCAGGTGTAAATGTCTAAGCTAAATATACATTGGACATGGTCTTTTCGGCTTGTTTTTCAAAGGTTTCCACGTAAGTTTTAAAATTTATATTTTGTTTCAGGATTGTAAAAACATCTCCGCATCCTGTTCTCATCACACAATCTAGTGTTCATCTTATCTGCAGGTAGATAGTATTCTTTACAGGCAGGGTCGTTACTGTCAGGTGTTCAATCTAGTATTCATCTTATCTGCAGGTAGATAGTATATTCTTTACAGGCAGGGTCGTTACTGTCAGGTGCTCAATCTAGTGTTTATCTTATCTGCAGGTAGATAGTATATTCTTTACAGACAGGGTCGTTACTTTCAGGTGCTCAATCTGGTGTTCATCTTATCTGCAGGTAAATAGTATATTCTTTACAGACAGGGTCGTTACTGTCAGGTGTTCAATCTAGTATTAATCTTAACTGCAGGTAGATAGTATATTCTTTACAGGCAGGGTCGTTACTGTCAGGTGCTCAATCTTGTGTTCATCTTATCTGCAGGTAGATAGTATTCTTTACAGGCAGGGTCGTTACTGTCAGGTGCTCAATCTAGTATTCATCTTATCTGCAGGTAGATAGTATTCTTTACAGGCAGGGTCGTTACTGTCAAGTGCTTAATCTAGTGTTCATCTTATCTGCAGATAGATAGTATTCTTTACAGGCAGGGTCGTTACTCTCAGGTGCTCAATCTAGCGTTCATCTTATCTGCAGATAGATAGTATTCTTTTCTTTACAGGCAGGGTCGTTACTCTCAGGTGCTCTATCTAGCGTTCATCTTATCTGCAGGTAGATAGTATTCTTTACAGGCAGGGCCGTTACTGGTCAGGTGCTATGTGTTTACTGTGTAGGAGGGGGGAGGCATATTGGGGTGTTTGGGAGGAGGGGAGTCAACAAATTTAAGTTTACACGATAAACCTTTTATTCAAGGCAAATAAGGCTCGGTTGTTGAGAGAAATACTTGTTGAGAGAAGTGTTCTTAGCCGTAGTAATGTTGTGTTGAAGTTTAAAAATCCGACGGAAAACGATTAAGATTGTGACAACATGCGGGGCGCGGCACGCCTTGGTTGGACAATCCGATAGGATTTTAATGATCGAATTTTCACTCTTTCTGAATAATTATACACCTTACAATCGTCTTATAGGTGTCTAAAAATTTTTAAAAAATTCTCTACAATACTGCATTCTCAGCTCAACTATCATGTCTAGAAGTATCACAGCAATTTCAACCAAAAAAGCATTAAGATTTTGATATGGTACTTCAGGATATAGTTACATTCATTTTGCACTGAGCTCTGTTGCTTCAAAGTTTCAAGCCTTATTTTTTCAGGAAAAACCTGTTTCAGCTCTGACAGTATATTTCTAATTTTATTTTTTCTAGGGTTGACGCTGACATGCATATCCTGTGTCAGCTGCAGGCCTTCAACTCTATAATTATTCAAGAGGTGGCAGCATCGTTGGAGGAAGAGGTAAATATTTTTTATATTACATCACATTTATCAAAAATTCGACCAAGAATTTTAATGATTACAACAGTTTAAGGATAAAAAGGAAATTTTAACATTACCTGGCAAGCCCCCCCTCCCCCCTCCCCCATTTTTTCATTTTTTATACATGTTACCCAAAGTATCGTCATTTTCATAAAAATCAATTTTCATCTTTTAGCTAATTCAGCAAGACCCTACTCTAATCCAGCTTGACCTTAAATAGCATTTAGCACTCTGTGTGAATTACTTTTATTTCAACTACTTGAACCTCATTATCTGAAATGTGTAAAAATAAACGTGAAATCTGTATTTCATCGAGAATTTAAAAATTATTTATTGCAAATTAGTACAAATCCTGTTTGGATTAGAAATCAGTTTTTCGCAACATAAACAATTTTTAACCCCCCCCCCCTTTGTAGTTTGTATATCTTAATATCGTAAACCATTAGATGTAGTTGAACGGATATAGTTACATGTGTCAGCACTTATTATATTTAATTTCCTTTGATATCTGATCTTAGACGAGGCCTGTAGGACAAACAAAACAAATATATTGATAATTCAAACTAATGTTCATTGAATGGTTTGTAAAGAAATATCTTGTCAATATTAATCAATAATTGAATCCTAACAAACAATGTTGTGTAAAGGATTAAATTTATTTTGATTCTGATTTAGTTCATACATTTAATTTTTCTGAGATTAAATTATCGAGCCCAAATGGGGTTTCCAATCTCTAAGTAGTCCACACCTAAGATTTGTGTTCTGAATACAAAATATGTTTTTTTACTGATATTATTGTTATTATTATGATTATATTTATTATTATTATTTTAGTTACTATTACTATTATTATTGTTATATTTAGTACGAGGACCTGAAGAACCTGTTGACTCTGATAAACAACCAGCAAACTAGTATATGCAGGGGTATACCGGAGGAAAAACTGGTGAGAGACAATTCATTGATTTACTAACTTTATTAAATATTTATTAAATAAAGGAAGTTGGTATCCAAACCTTGGAAGCTAGGAGGTTAAGGTTTGACATGCTACATACATACAAAACTCTGAACCATAAGATAGCTGTTAATCCAGATATATGGTTTACCAGGGTCCAAGACATCAGCCTAAGAACCACTCGTCAATCTGACAACTATATGAATCTACAAATAAAACAGTGCAAAGGAGAAATTCGAAGGAAATTTTTCAGCAATCGAGTTGTTCAACCATGGAACAATTTACCTGCAACTATTCAGAATGCCAAGAATGTAGACAGTTTCAAAAGAATGTACGATGAACATGTGAAAATGTGAATGATATAAACAATGATGGCCAGAACTATAGTGAACTAAAATCATTTACAGTTAAATCAAGAAATTCTCATTATACTCCAATAGGAGTCCTGAGAATCAATACCACATAAACATAAACATACTCTTTGATAGTCACTAACCTGTAACCATTGATAAATATTCAAGGGTGTATTTTTGAATTACTTTTTCAGTATTGAAAAAATGTATTTTCAAAGAGTAGTCACTGAATTGAGGAAAGTGAATAATTTTGGTAAAAAGTACTGTAAAATAAATAAAAGCATGCTAGTCGGTGTCTAGTTAATAGTATATATACACCCCTGATGTTGTTATTTGATGGTTACTCTTTAAAAAGGAGTAATAGAACCCAGGAGAGAGGGATAGGATTTATTTACATTTTACTCTGATAGTGATTGCTTTGTCTGCTCCCCATGCCCTGCTGAGGAACACCGAGCTGTTTTGTTTAATGTTATTGTTGTTCTTAAGTGTCTTGATACAGCATTGTGAGATAAAAATTAACCGTACACCATCTCCTTAATTTTGGTATATTATGATCTAAGTAACCAAATATTTTACTGGTTGGATCAATTAAAATAAAAAATATTATAGATAAAAAGTATATTTTGCCTACGACAACTGTCACTTGAAAGTTAAAGAAATTTTCCAAAGTTTTAATTAAGTTTCATTTTCAATTTTGAAAGTTTTCAGTAGTTATAAAACTGTATTTTAACTGGGTTGATTAATGAATCAAGAGAGATAGTTAAACTAAGTTCGACGAGTTAGACTGCTTACTGTATTCAAATATCATCTCCAATCTTTTTGTTGTCTAGGTTACCTGGGCGTCCAGGAAGAATCTGTCCCATATCTTGATAGAGAGGTTCATGAGCAGGGTTGTTTTTAGGTTAGTATTCAACCCTGTCAAGAGTTTCATGAGCAGGGTTGTATTTAGGTTAGTATTCAACCCTGTCAAGAGGTTCATGAGCAGGGTTGTTTTTAGGTTAGTATTCAACCCTGTCGAGATTAAATTTAAAAAAGGAAGAAATTAGAAAAATCAGTAAAAAATTTGATAATAAATCAATAAAGAAATTTATTAAACAAATAACTAAAAATACATAAAAACAAAAATGAAAATAAACGTATAAATAAATGAAAAAATGGATGAAAAATAATGAAGAAAATTAATTAAATGAAATAATAGATAGGTAGATATCAAATGAATCAAAAATTGAGAAAAAAAAATAATGAATGATTAAAACATGTTGAAATTAATGAATATTTTTAATGTATTAAAAAATTAAAAATTAATTAAAGTATTAGTAAAGAAATAATGAACAAAAAAGAAGCAATGAACAAAAAAAGAAGTAACGAAAAAATGAAAGAGTAAATAGATTAATTGATAAATTAGATATAAAAAATTATTTTTAGGGAGAGAAGTTGTACATATGTTATCCTAGAAACAGATCAGGCAGATATATGCAGGTATGTGATTAAATATTAAAAAAAATAAAAATAAAAATAAATAATATTTTAAACAACAATGGTAATATAAACATAAATAAATAGACATCAAAACAACAACAAAATAATTTTTCTTCGAAACCTCGACTAAAACTTGAATTTCTAAATATCAAATATTACTTTTAAACTCAAAAATCTATTTTTTAACAGTGCAATTTATCCAGTTTTTGAATTACTAAGAAAATTATTATTTAAATTGTTTTTAGATCCTGTGCTCTGCTTCTATCCACTTCGAGTTTAGACTTACATGGTTGGTAACTTCCCATTATCCATAGACACCTTACCCCCCCCAAAAAAATGGGGGAGGGGAAAGCTTATGCCCCGTTATCCTTTATCGTCTCAACTCCTTTGCGACAGTTCATTTCCCCTTAAAGTTTTCATCAATTCAATTCAATTATAGACATAATAAAAAACAATGTTAAAACTTTTAAAATTATTAGTTTACATAAATAATGCACATTAAGTTCTAAAATGTATTATTGAGGGGGGAAACTGAAGAAAAAGAGTTATTTTCCCGCAATTGTTGTCTGTTTTCAATTTATCAAACAATCTATATTTGTTGTGTGTTTTTGCAATCTAAGTATAACAACAAACATCGGTAAGTGTCATAACATTGATTTTGATGTATAAAATTGTGTTGAAATGGTTAGAACACTAGGGGGAGATGAGCTGTCGCAGGAAGTTGAACTGATATCGGGCACCTTTCAGTAAATGCCCCTGTATGTCTCCACTCACCTTGCTCCAACCCCCCCCCCCCATTATTTAGTTGAAAAACATGTTTTCCTGAAATAAAATTTAAATATTTAAGAACAATAGGTTTAACTTAACAATCAGTTCTACACACCACCAGCTCTCTATTCAATACGAAATATCAATTTACCAATTCAATTCAAATTTACTTATTCACGTTTATCCAACTTTAGAAAGTCGGACATTTTATTCTCCAAACGTGGTTTTCTTAATTTTAAGTTAATTTTTGACATTTTAACATTTTGAAATTTTAAAATATAATTTTATTTGTTGAGGTGATGAGGAGCTGGAGTGCCCGCAGCCGGACTGTGATAGAACGTTTAAATATCAGGTTTAGTTTAAAAGTCTAATTTAAACAAACATTGAGGGGTTCATAAATATTCGCAATAGAGTTGGGGACACAGCCGCAGCCTTTTTATGATCTCCTTGCTTCTTTTCTAAATAAATCTGACTTTTTCTCGTCTCACAGATGAAAATTGTTATCGTAGTTTTTTTCGATTTAATGTTGGAATTTTTGGTAACATATATCTTCTTTCAGGGTGCTTTAGAGAAACATATTCAGAAACATGCAGACGAGGACGCTGATTATCCTGTCCTCGATAAGCAGCTGAAACAAGAGGACAACCTCAATCATATCAAACTGGAACCGGAGGTTAAGCTTAACGAAGCCAACGGAGTGGACGACAACGATTTCTTGGATCGTTTGCTAGACGATCTGGACTATCCTATAGAGGAGAGGAGACGGAAGAAAAAGAAAAAGAAACCGCCGACGAAAGACTTCTCCTGCAGTGATTGCGGGAAAGCGTTCTACTTCCAGAAGAACCTGTTCACGCACGTGGTGGAGGTTCACGGAAAGTCAGTCGACGAATTACCAAATCTTGCCTTAGTGAAGTCCGAGGATGGAATTATTAGGAAAGTTCAGATTAAAAAATAATAAACGGTTAAGCTATACGCCGCCATCGAACATTAGCATAAGCGTAGGCTTTGACAATTATTAATTCTTTCGGAATATTATTCCTGAACAAAATACAGGGGTGTGAATTTTCATGAAATATTCCCCCCCATTTCCTCCCACAAAATAAATCTAGCAAATGACATAGTACATACCCCGGATATTTCTACGCCTGTTAGTTCTGCGATTAACCTTGGAAGGAATTTTGTAATGAAAACCGGGATTTAGAACAATGTTGAATTCTAATAATTTCCTTAATTGTCTCAAAAGCATAAATGCGCAAGTCAGTTTACAAAGTCGAAACCACAATTGAAAATACTAAATTTTAAGCCATACAAATAATCATATCTCCTTCATCGTTTTCAATCAGACTGCCTCTTCCAATTCTCTTGGGTTTGATTTGATTAATCTGTTCAATTAGACGTAGAAAGAAGAAGAAGAAAGGAGGTAAAGGGAACAGTGTTTATTGCGACGAGTGTGGAGTAACATTTAAATTTGCAAGCGGATTATACAACCATAGGTTAGTTTGCTACTTAATGTCTGATTTTTTGTTCAATTTGTTCAGATCATCGAAAAGATAAAAAAGTTTTTACGAACTAAATCATTATTGTCGTATGGGTTCTGAGAGGTTTAGGGGTGTGTTCGGAGTATTCGTTGGGAGCATTCCGGAGATTTTGGGGGATTTTGGCAAGTTTTTGGAGGGTTTTGCAGTAAATATATTTTGCATATCTAAAATAGTTTTGCAACTCCCGACTTTGCTAAAAGTTAATCAATAAACTAAAATAAGTTACATAAAGTTTACCAAGTATAAATATCAGATGGATAAATATAAAAGTTAATCAATAAACTAAAATAAGTTACATAAAGTTTATCAAGTATAAATATCAGATGGATAAATATAAAAGTTAATCAATAAACTAAAATAAGTTACATAAAGTTTACCAAGTATAAATATCAGATGGATAAATAAACTAAAATAAGTTACATAAAGTTTACCAAGTATAAATATCAGATAGATAAAAATAAATATAGATATGTATTTTTCATGTTACCAGAGGTATTCGCAATTTGCATTTTCACAAATGTTTTACTTTTTCATAATGGAGTGTTAAACATCTTGGTTACCATTTTCTATATCTGACGTTCTCTTGTTTTCATTAAATGACCTTTCCACCAAGCAGTGATTACAGGGGTTTATATTTTATCGAAAAAGCATCCCCCCTCCTTTGAAAATATATTTTCTTCCCAAGAAGTTTTATATGCTTGCGCGTAGCAGATTTTTTTTTATGGTTTTTTTATTCGCTGAATTAGGGAAAATATATTATTTTTAGAGAAATAAATGAATTTTTGGGTAAAAAGTAACAAAGAGAATGAAAAGTGTTGCCCAATCATGAAAACTAATTCTTAAAAATATTTACCTTTGTACTAATATGACGACCCATTTATGTATTTAATGGTTGTAGAAAGAGAATGCATGGAGATATAGAGAAACGACCCTGTCCTCATTGTGAAAGATTAATCAAAAGTTGTACAATGGATCAACATATCAGAGAGGAACATGGAACACCTAGGTAAATTTATAGATCAATTATTAGAGAAGAACATGGAACACCTAGTTAAATATATGTATCAGTATATCAGAAAGGAACATGCATGGAAAACCTATGTAAATAAATGGATAAATATATCAGAGAGGAACATGGAAGACCTATGTAAATAAATGGATAAATATATCAGAGAGGAACATGGAACACCTAGGTAAATATATAGATCAACATATCAGAGAGGAACATGGAACACCTATGTAAATAAATGGATAAATATATCAAAGAGGAACATGGAACAACACCTAGAGGTAAATAAATGGATCAGTTTATATCAGAGAGGAACATTGGAACACCTAGGTAAATAAAAGAATTAATATATCAGAGAGGAACATGGAACACCTTATTAAATATATGGATCAGTATATCAGAAAGGAACATTGGAACACCTAGGTAAATAAATGAATTAATATATCAGAGATGAACATGGAACACCTTATTAAATATATGGATCAGTATATCAGAAAGGAACATTAGAACACCTAGGTAAATAAATGGATCAACATATCAGAAAGGAACATGGAATTATTTTCGAATGTTTAGGGGAAATGAACCAAAATTATGATATTTTCAAGAAAATATTTACCACTGCCCCTTTTTTACGTTAAAATTTGAACCACAACCCTAAAAAGCATTATTAGAAGATTTTTTTAAAAACAGTTCTAATATTGGGAAATAATTATGTACAATATGTGTAGTCACGATTTTTTCAAACAACTTTTAACTTGTTTTCCCTAGGTATGCATGTCAATTCTGTGGTAAAGGCTTTTACTATAAGAGCTTTATGTTAAACCATCAACGCCTTCACACGGGGGATTACAAGGAATGTATTTGTGATCTCTGTGGAGCTGTATATAAAAGTGTTCAGGTAAATTTAACAAACGTTTTTCAAAAGATTTGATTTTTAAAGTTGATTTTTTAGGTTTTGAATCGGCATGTTCGAAATGCCCATCAGGATCTCAGAAATCATAAATGTGATCATTGTGAGAAAGCGTTTCACAACAAACAGCGCTTGGAAAGACACATAAACAGTCAGCATACAAAATCAAGACTTTGGCCTTGTCCTGTTTGTCATTCAAAATACGACAGGTAGCATTTTTTTCTGTTAAACGAGTTGAATATGGATTTTCTACTGTATGATGATTATCAAGAACAAGATGATTTGATATGATTGGAATTGAGTTCAAATGAAATTTCATAAATTTTAGAGCTCTGTTTATTGCGTTTTGCAATTATGTTTGCACAGTTAATCGATCGTTATAATAATAACATACAGCTTAGAAATTTAAACCGTTTTGTCAATAAATGTTTTTTCTCTTTCTGTTGGGAGACAGGATCGAGATTCTTCGTTTTTTAATAATGTTGAATTTTCAGAAAGGACAATCTTCGAACCCATATCAGGAAGAATCACAGCGGTGTGATTAACCCCGACACGGTGGAGTTAAGCTCGGTCGAGAACGAAGCAGGTTTCGATCTCGGAAGGAAACCTAGAAATGGATCTAGTCATTTAATATCACAGGTAAAAACTACTTTCCATTTAGCTCATCTCTTTGGTAACCTTTAGCAAGTCAACCCAGGGTAATCATTGCAGTTCATTAATGTTTTAACAAGGGAGCATTTGGTAAACTTTGTTTATTACTTTCTACCAAATTACACTTTTAAATTTTATATTGATAAACTTATATAATGCCAATCCTGATGTGTATTGCAGATTCTTTATACCATTCCAGAAAAGTTATTGTCATAAAATTTTTGCCAATTTTCACAAATATGACGTACAATGCACATACTTTAATTGATAACTCCTCTTTATTTGAATATGAAAATATCCAAATTTATTCATGTCCTAAAGAAACGAATTGAGCCTTTGGCACAAACTCAAATTGTATAACCCCAATATCTTAGCAAGCTGAGAGCGTAAACCTTAAAGCGCGCTTAGATTATTCAATCTAACAGAATTCTAAGTTTAAAATATCAAAGATCTACTACGTTGGGTTGAAAAGATATTGGGATTAGAAAATATGTATACTACATGATACTAAAAGATTAATTAAAATTGATATTTTCAGGCATTTTTTATGAACGCAGATCGAGGAAATGTATCAGTATCCCAGGACCGTAACCAGCTACCTGGTCAGCATAGAAATTCGTCCATGCAGGGACAGGAGAGAAGCATGCATGACGCACATGACCTCTTGCACTTAAAGTACAGTGATGACGCGCATTTTCGCGAACATGATCAGATTAAGCGCGAGGATGTAAGCGCACATCAGTTGAGAATCCCATTTGAAAGTTCGATGATGCGCCAAGATCAAGGATTCGCGCGTCTTACACAACGTGACGATTTCCTGCCGGCAAAACAGGAACCAATAGAATCTAGTATACGACTTAGTGTTCATTCTCCACCAATGAGAGACGTAGTAGCGGCAGTACGGGACAGTGCTGTTCCGGTACGTGACGTCATGGCGGCGGTCCGGGACACCATGACTCCTATGCAGCATCCAGTTCATACACTTGCACAAACCATTCATCACATTCAGAATAGCTATGCATTTCCAGGCCTTCACGGTCCACCCATTTAAATTGGTTTATTTGCATCACGCCTTACTGAGTTGTCATTGTTAGTTAAGTCGAGAGTATAACTTGTATCAAAGGACTGATTATTGTATTTTATTTTTTATTTCTCACAATTGTTCACAAAAACGTCACATCAGTGCTTCCGTTATGCTAACTTCCGATACACCTAAAACCTCACTATACGTATTTTAAACTTTTTTACAAAATGTTTACTTTCTTGTCATATATCTATACTTTCTCTTTGTGGCATTATTTTTTATTTGTACAAAAATTGCATTGAAAAATTCTTTATTGTGTCTTTAATCCATGGGCTTTAAACTGTGAACAGTCTTTCTTTACAGATTACACTTATTTTACATACGTTCGTATGTATTGCCAAAGTTTAGTTAAGGCTGTACGGATAGAAACATCAAGATGGTCAAGATAATTTCAAAGTATTTTACGCCATAATAACTATAAACACAAGATATTTGTATAAGCCACGTAAATACCAATTTGCAAGTCTGGAAAACTTATTCTTTTTTTCATTTTTCGCCCTGAATCTCTTGGTAAAATCAAGGTTCTAATATAAGCTGCTTTATTTTTTAATTTACCAACCTTGAGCGGTATATATCTTGAATCTTGATATAATATGGAGCGCGTAGGATCCATTTAATTTTGATGCGGATCCGGATCCTGGATCCATATTTAAAAATGGACCCGGATCCTGGATCCGCAATAAAAAAATGGATCCGAATACAGGTTATTTCTTTAAAATTTACTGAATTATTTTAACAAAGCAGAATTTTAAAACTTTTTTGACTTTTTTTCCTATATTGTTATGCTGAATCTTGATGAACCATTCAGAAATCAGGAAATTTTTATAATTTGATTTTTGAGATTAACATTTTTTGCAGCTTTTGGTTGATATTTTGCCCCGTGGATCCGGGTATTTTTACGGATCTGAATCCAGGAAGCCAAAATCTTGAGGATCCATCGGATCCGGATCCAAAACACTGATAATATGTAATCGATATCCGGATATGATACATGTATGTGCCTACGATCCGGATCCATTGGATCTGCGAAAGTTTGGATCCCGAAAAGAAATTTTTCCTTTAACCACTGATCAAGTGTGAACAAGAAAGGGGAAAAGACTGTCGGGAGTTTCTTATTGATCTATTGAATGCTTGGCACCAGCAATTAGCGGAGAAAGAGAAGTAAGTTTCAAAACTTTGCTGTACAGGGTTACCTTCAAAGTATGAAACTTCAGAGACGACTATACGGATTTTTCACTGTGTTTTTTTATTCACGGTTTTCTGTAAACATGTTTCTTTCTTTGCCAAATCATTAAATGGGCCATTAATAGATATATGTAAGGCACAAGACTTTATTTAACCTATGGATCGTCATATTATACGAGTTTCAGGATCGTTTCAACCGTCGCATCCTTTGCCCTGTAGTAGGAAGAACTTGGAATAATTAAAAAGTGGATACGGATCTGCGTTGGTTCAGATTTTACATAAAGAAACGTTTAGTCATTTCATTTTCTAGTTAATCTATAATTTATAAAAAAGGTTCTTACATTTTTTCGCCTTAAGAATTATTTATTTTCTTTATTTCTCCACAAATTTTGAATGTAGATCTAAAAGTGTCCTTGTTATGAATGGATTTTCCCAGACATATTGATAATAATGAAAATTCTTCCTTTTGGTTCATCAGTCTGCAATCAGCAACTTTTTTCACTGGGCATTCGATTTAAAATGAGCTTAGGAAGTCGTAATCAAATGATGCATTACTTTGAATAATATTTACACTTTCACTAAGACTAATGTTGTTAAATGCGAATACATCATGATGTAAATGTTTTGTATATAAATAAATTTTAAAATTTTTATTTGGGATAAGATTTTATAAATTTTAATTTTTTAATTTTAGTTTTTTTTCTGTAAATCCTTTAATGTTATATAAGTGGTTCACAAAAGCTGAACATCCATTACGGGGAGGGAACTCCAGGCGCCATGAGCCTCTCAAACTTTCCAAAAAGTTCTGCATGTGTGCAGTACACATTTTAGAAAGGATTGCAGGATGAAAGATATTAAGATATTCAAAGAGTATAATGAAACACTTTGTAATGAATTCAATTTATTTTGTTTTGAGCGCCATCATTTTTCGACAAATTGTTTTAATTTAATGATTTTACTGAACAGATTGTATTTCCAGATGTAATTAAATCTAATTCAGTGTTTGTGGCTCTAAAAAATGTACGAAGAATATATTTAAAGAAAAAAAATTTGAATGAGTTAGTTCAGTTTACTCTGTTGAAATCTTTTAAGCCAGTGCTTAGGATCCATTTCTTTTTGATGCGGATCCGGATCCTGGATCCGCCCTTACAAAAATGGATCCGGATTTTTATCCAGAACATGAACATTTCATATTGCTTTGATGATTTTTATAACAAATAAAGAATGTCTTCTTTTTTCCGCTTATTTTACTGCTGGAATTCAGATGACAAGGAAGTATTTCATAATGCTCTTAAATGGGTGGTAGAGGTTTTTAAAAAAATGTCAATGAAAACAGAAAATTATTTCATGTAGATCTAATCTTGTTCTTTTGTCTTTATCTTTCCCATTAGTAGCTTTGCTCAAATAGATGCAACGTAGAATATGTACACTCTCAGTAGAATATGTACACTCTCAGTAGAGCTGTATTCAGACGTCGGGTCTGTCCTAGTATACGATTTTTGGACCCCCCCCAGTTTTTAGAAAAAGTGCTTATCTTACAGTAAAATAAGCGCAACCTTATGTGTTCTTAATTTCTGTTTTTACACTTTTTTATTTAATCTTGGAGAACATGTCAACTGATATAAGAAAAATTTTGTTCTCCTTGTCATATTTGACACTTGTGACGTCGTGTATAATTGGTCCATTTCTCTGTTGCCACCTATTGTTCTTGATAATCTATTTGGTCCTTGTCATATAAACACAAAAATAAGACAAAAATGTCTAAATAAAATTGCGCAAAATGCAAACACAATTTTCTTGAAAAGATTCTAGGAATTTTTTTCTTTTTTCCATTATTAACTTTGCGCTGCATTAAGAGTTTTTGTCTCTTTCTGAAATAGTTACTTTTAGTCAAATTTGTTGTTTAAACTTTGAACTTTTAGGTCATAAAGTGATATTTTTAGCCTCTACAAATTTAAAGTAATTCCTTTTCTGAGAAGGATAGGGTCAGGGATATTGGTTTGGAATTGCAATTGGGGATTGTCAAATTAAAATAGATCATATGATAAGGTGACTGTTGACTGTGTGACGTCATTTGCGGTCCAGACTAAAACGGATGCGGTGTGCCATCCCTCCCTCGTAAATGAAACTTTTTAACACCCGTTAAATACAGGGGCGTACGAGGGGGGGGCCGTGCCCCCCCTGAGAGACTGAAAGGGGGTACCCATGAGGGAGGCTCTTTTAATATTACATCTGCTTGCATTTCCCTTCTTCAGGCCAGGCAAAGTGGCCCCCCCCCCCTGGGAGTTCCAGGCGGGGTACTGCCCCCCCTGGAAAATACATAATTAAAAGGAAACTACGTTTAAAAAGTAACACCTGACAATGAAAAAGACTAAGGATTTGTCTGAATTCACTGTTAATACAAGGAGAGAAAAGTTTTAGCCTTCTAAAGATACTTTAACATTATACACAAGATGTACTTTGACGGAGAGCAGACTTAACGATCTTGCACTTATAGCTTTACACTCTATAAGGCTGTCTGATCTCTCTACTGAAAAAAATCATTGAAATGTTTGTGCAAGCAAATCCCAGAAAATTGTATGCTTAAAAGAGTTGGTGAATATTGTAACATT